TTTCTAGTTATTTATCAATAATGTATTTACACGTAACTTACCCCCTTTGATTTGTCAGACACAATGAACTGTGAAGAAAAAGATTTGAAGTCAGTGTCAGGTCATTGGTAATTGAAAAGCCAACAAAAGATAATCCTGGAGGGAAGGGGAGGGCTTTGAAAACAGTGTGTTAGATAACCCCCTACCCCCACTCCCTTAATAATGAAGTCCCCGCCCCCACCCCCAGGGAATATAATATACCAGTTTATCAAACATTTACAGTGAATCTGGTAGGGTGCGATGGTGCGATCCCGCACTATTTACCTCAAATCGCACCGAATCGCACTATTTTCAATTTCTCGCACTTTTCATGGATTTTCRCACTTTTAAGGTTAATTTCATTAGTAAACAAATAAAATTGCTATGAAAGAATAAGAAGACGTACTATTTTTACCTTTTTTGGCAAAATTAAACGATAATTGTATCTTTTATAGCGCTTGAATCGCTTGCAGTTTCGAAGTATAAAATACGTTTTACACCAAAAAACAGCCAGGCGTTCCACGCGTGTAACACTGGGTACTAATAATTTACGAAGCGTCGTGGATCGACCGATCGCGCGGATATTAAAGTTACCACTCGTTTATTTTTGTTTGTATTTTATCCACTTGATTAGGATTTATCCGCTGGATAGTGCTATCCAAGCTTCGTACAAACGAACACTGTATTCTTTTTTAAAAAAGAGAAAAACTTTGTAACTTAAAACTATAAACAAAAAATCAGACGTAACTTCTTTACGCCACAAAAAAACAAACGAAAATATGATGTTTACTTTAAACAGGAGAATGCCACTAAAAGGAAATCAAATGTGGCGTTTGAATATTCACTATTTTTGGTTATGAATAAAGCGAGAAAACAACGTCAAACTCACCCAAAATTAATTTATGCAAATTTATTCTCCGCACTTTTTCGCACTATTTTCGATTTTTTCCCGCACTCTACCAGATTCACTGCATTTAGTAAAAGAACTAAGAACTGGTTTTGATTTTAGAAAAAGATTCTTTTAAAAATCATCTTCTCCTAATTTAGATACATGTACAAATTATGTAATATAACAAGATACAATAATCCAAAACTTGTTATGCAACATTGTTACTGTTCAAGTTTAGCTTCAAAGTTTCTATGGCTTATTATTAAGTTTCAATTTCTATGGCTTATTCTTTGTTATAAGACAAGTTGCCAGGGCTCAGACAAGGTGAAAAAAACATGAATCAGCAACAAGATAAGTTGAGTGTTTTTTAATGTTGCTTTGCCTTTGTTGAATACCAGTGATGTCGCCCCGAAGTGATGTCGCCCCGTGATCTCGCCCCAAGTCCAAATACGTTAGATTGGAAACTATTTGACATTATATTGCTTTGTTTTAAGTGCAAGGTGATGTTTTATTGTTTCGAATTCAACCGCTTACTCAGCTACTCGTTCGTAGTCGTTCGTAGTGAAAAATAAATTTCACTGAAATTTGTTCATATAGGCCTGAAAAACTAAAAGTTAACGATAGCTAACTTGTTTATATTTTGCATTACGACTGCATGTATATATCAATAACTAAGTGGGGGCGAGATCATGGGGCGACATCACTTGGGGGCGACATCACCGGATACCCCTTTGTTTGTTAGGAATAATACCATATTTTTTGATGACATTATTTATCCAAATGACTGCTATTTTGCATTTGTATTTACCTCAAGCTCAAACATACTAAACAAGAGAATATTTCCTGCAAAAAGAAATGAACAATTAACTAAGAATAAATCTGAATTCTTGGGAGTTTGTTTGGTTTTGAGTCTCATAGGCAGTTTTGATGATGTTCACAGTTTTGATTGACTGTTCAAGCAAAAATGTCAAAATGGCAGTGTAAGTGTTCAAATTAACAAATCGAAATCGCTTTTCTATGGTCTGTACGCTTACCGACAATGAAAATGACGTCAGAATGATCAAAACTCAAGCGTAGCGAGTGCTTTCACTGCCAAGTTTTGATCATTTTCTGACGTCATTTGAATTGTCGATAAGCGTTCAGACCATAGAAAAGCGATTTCGATTTGTTTTTTACCATAACAAAGCCGAAAACAAAGTAAAACTTTCAAAATAAAATCGTTTCTGGCGCACACCGGCTCCATGCGCGAGCGATTCGTCATTTCATTGGTCTGTCCTACGATCGACAACGGCTCTCGACCAATTAGCGCGCGAGAATTCTACAAGTTATGGTAAAATATTGATTTTTGCATTATAATTAAAAATAATTACACAAGGTAGTTTTTACACAATGTTTTAAATCTTTTGAACTCCAGTCACTCACCATCGCATAGCACCAAAAGTCTGTTGATATTTGGAGCAGTTACAACTTGCTGAATGGGCTTTTTCTGATTTGAAATTCAAATATAAAATAATTTTGAAAAGATAAGGAAAGAAAACGCACGATTTTGCTGATTAATGTTTTAGGATTCTGGACAATCTTGAATAGTATCCAGTAGCCTGAGGATTTGCACTACAGGTGTATCCAGGATTTTGTATATGAGATGTTATACATATACCCTAATGGCATACCCCCATCCTGGAATTGTACCTGCCAAGATGGGGTGGTAGCTATTCTAGTGCAGCTAGTATTACATGAATAAAACTC